GCTTGGGTCATCGCCTGACCCGATGACCTATAGGAGGCATCTCCATTGCTCTTTTTGACTTGATGGGGAGAACATACCTCATTGTGGATGGCACGGTTGCAAAAGAAAAAAGAATCAGGTCCAAAATGACTATAACGAATCAAACTATAAGTCCAGCTTACCGTTAAGAAGATCTGCATGAGGGGCAACGGGCTGGCGTGGAGGGTCGAGCGTGACTACTAGACCGTACAACTGGCGGTTCTCCAGGGTATTGAGAATGATAGAGCTATGGCTAGAGTCAAAAAGAGATAAGATCTGCTCGACCCGTGCTAGAGCAACCGCAGAGAGCTTCGGTCGAGTAGAAACTTCACCTACATTTAAGAGCAAAGTATGTAAGATAGCTCGACGAACGGAAGATATTCTACAAGAATCCAATAAAGTGGAGACCTACAGTATTTGTTGAATAGTGTCTGCGTTCCCAGGGGACGCTCGCCGTCGAGCAGGTGGGAATTGAAGTTGCTACAAAGGAAAAAGAATTGAGGCTTCTACCCATGGCAACTGGAGGTCTTATCAATAATGACGAAAGGGATTGGTGGTTTGGATTTGGAATGGGAGCATAAGTAAAAGAATCCTCTCTGCCCCGGGGAACCCTTAAGGGCATAGTAGTACAAAAATTCCTTGACGGTTATGTCGAGGTTCAAAAATTTTCTCCACAAAATAATCATGGAGTTTATTATCACCTAACAATTGGGTGACAATTACGCGGGAGAAATCCTGTGAAGGCCACAGAGGGCCTTCACGAACGGGTGAAAGGGCAGAGTCTGCCCAAAACTAAAAGAGCGGGTATTACAGTCATGTGGTTGGTAGGGGGGTTGTGAGCTCTATCATTACGGGTCAGAATAATTAAATAAAAATTGTTGGCATCGATCCCCATATCATGGAATGCCTTCATGGCAACCCGGGGCTATATTTTTGATGGGTTGACATCGGTCACCATCCCCGAGATGCCACTGGTCGACACCACTCTGTAGCCATGGCCTTCAGCAGGGCCGACCCGTAAGCCATCGTCCTCATCGTCGAGGAGAATGCGCTCGTCTGGCTGAGAGATCGAGACCAACCCCTCGGCATATTCGTCCACCTGACAGAGCAAATAATCCTCGCTTTCGCTCAATGATGTGCTCGACGTCGCATCTTCCTCAGGGCCGTCCCTCACCCTGGAAGTGGAGACCTCTAAACCTCTAACCTGTTTTGGCGACACCTTCTGAAAATAAACATAAAAGGGGTCGAGTTAATGCCTAATGGTCGAGAGGTCAGAAACAAAGTTCGAGAAGAAACAGAAGCATGTTTGGATTAGAAAGGTCTGAGAGTCTAGGATTAACAATAACAAACTCACATGAACACAGAAATGAGGTAAAACTCATGCAAGGGTCCCCAGAACCTAGGAACGAGCCTGAGGACCCCCAGCAAAAGCGACTGAACCCAAATGGACAATATCACATGGACTCATCCCCAGGTTCATGATCAACAACACCAAGTAAGTACATTTTTTCTCCTTAACAAGTTGCTTTTTGCAGGAATTAGTTCTAGAAACACATAGAAGAAGCAACAAGACCAAAACAACTTACTAGTTCTTGAGGAGGTCTGAAAACGTGGAGACAGAGGAGAACAACGCACAGAGAATGTACGCGGAATTCGAAGTCAGAGAAGGGAACTTCTGGGGGAAATCCGGTAGAGTACCGGCGGCCTGTAAATGAACAACCATAAAACTGCTCCGAGGGGTATATATACTCAGAGTGGGAGCCCAGAGGTCCTAGGGAAATCCAAAGGACTTCCGATCTCAACCGTTGAATCCGAACCGACCCCATCCAATAGTGAATTTGAAGTAACGCGATCTAACAGTTTGGAAAAGAGTGAGAGAGGTGAATTTGATCGAACGGCTTCAACTTTTCCCTTGACTGCCACGTGTCACCATGGTATGGGACATGTGACTGTTGACACGATCGACAAGACTGCTCCACTGTTTGAGAAACTCGCTGTAATGATGGCATTGTATCGACAAGCAGCCGCCACAATCTGCAGAGAAAAAGTGACCACGTGATACTCTCAACAATGCATAGCTTGAAACATGGCAACGTGGTATTCCAGTCTAAGGGTAATTCGTACACCACGGTCAAGGAATCGATCGTTCCTTTGACTAACAAGCGCCGAGGTATCCCAGTCGAGAGTCGGTCGCTGACGTCGAGGAAAAGGTCGTACCTGGGATGCCCTCCAGACGACGAGAGTTCATGCAGGGGGACATGCGTCGAGGACTTCACCTGAGTTGTGAGGGTCACGACGTCAAGAGAGCAGCTCGGTCCAATCTAAACCAAATCCCGTCAACTCGAGAAAAGATATATTGTACCAACTACCAAGGTTCAGGTCAGGAAATCAGGTAACCGGTAAGGGCGGTTGGCCTGACCTGGAAACTGAAATCATGGAAACACAACTACCAAATCTTAGAATTTAAGGAAAGGGGATGATCACCTCAGAAAATGTAGAGGAGGTCTCTCATATGTAAAAGGCCTATAAGTAGAGCCATCTGGATTCATTAAGTTTTTTACGCAATATTCTACTACTCCAAAAAGATTGTAATTAACAAAATATTAGTGCATCCACAAGTGGACATAGGCAAAGAATTTTTGCCGAACCACTATAAATTTATGTCTTCTTTATCTTTTCATGCAACGATAATCCTTGATTAATCTGTGAGAGATTACTGTGAGTGTTTCCAGAGAGTTAATCTTTAGTTGACCAAAATTAACCGTCAACAATATTACTGATTATGAATCATTTTGCATTTACATGGTCTATTCTTTTCTTTTTCTTAATTTTATCTCTCCATATCAAACCCAAATATGCCTAATGCCTAAATTCTTTTCATTGTTGAATGGATTTGGGTTTTTCTCATTTGTTTTATTAATTTATTCATCTTGAATTAACACAACCTTCGTGACAATTTTTTTTTATCAATTTTGTGTTGGAGAAGATTGCGTGCCGTTTGCTGCCATGTTATGTTTAGATCGCTTATTGGCCTATTCATAGTGGATTATACTGGCTAACAATGATCTTAATGAAAGGTTCGTGTCTTTATTTAGTTCTTATCTAAAAGTATTATCAAACCGTACATTAAGTATACATACGACTAGTATATATTTGTATACGTATATATGTATGTATATTGTACGTAGAACCATGGTTAAGTTGCATCATGCCAAGAGTTTCAGGATGGTCCCACTGTCTCTCTCTCTCTTCTCGAAAGTTGGTTCCATTTTGGACAAGTTGACTTGGATTCTGCCTTGAGATGCTGCGTGTGTGAAGGGGGCTGACCAGGAGAGGAAACAATAAACGTCATATGTTTAAGCTAAACGCAGTATTTTCCCTAAAATATCTGCTGTAGAATGCCTATAATCTCACATATATATCTCATGTAGTGGAAAGTGTGCTCTTTCTTCAAGATATTTATCCGACCGTTTCCCCTCCCCACCCTATTTATTCATTTATTTTTCGTGTAAAAACAGAAGGAAATTGATAGAAATTAAGAGTCCGTTCGGTTCGCTAATTTAAATTTTTAATTCGAGTTGAGATGTGATGTTATGTGAGAATTTTTTATTGTAACAAAAAAGTTAGATGTGACTGTTTCTGAGAGTTTTTTACTGTAGTAAAACTCGAATTTTAAACTCGAATCAGCAAAATGAACGAGCCTAAGAATCAATTTCTGTCCTTTTAGTTTTTTTTTTGTTTTTTGGTACGTTGGTTTAGGGACTAGGGGGGCTTGAGATGTTCGTTTCTTATTCTGTGGCATGTCAGTGTCATTGTCAATTTGTCATTGCTATTTTCAGTAGGCCATATTGAAAGCGAGATGTTCCCATTAAAGTCTTGAGGTTTTAATTATCTCGATCTAGTCTATTTTGTTTTAAGTAGACAAGTCGAGTCGTTCAAATTATAAAGTCTTGAGGTTTTATAATTTGAAAGAGTCTTCCTTTTCCTTTCTCATCCAATCATCTGCCACCAAAAATGTTTAAAGCTTGCACGACCACACATTGAGGGAATTTTTGAATAAAAGGTTATGTATGGAGGGAAAAATATTTAGGTTGTTGAATCTTCACGGAGCAAGATTTTATTCGATGGGAATAATGTTCTAAAAGATAAGAAGTAGACGCATGAGGTTCCTCCCCCAATCAATGAAATTTTAAAACGTTTTTTTGCTTGAAAGAAATGGTATATGCTCTTTTTATCATGCTGGATATAAATTTGATGGGATTATTCTTGTTAAGTACATCTCTAATATAAATGTTAATAAAATCATATATTTAACATAAAAAAATGTGATATGGTATGATATTTTCATATTTACTCAAATGTATAATGCTATTTGAAATGTTAAATTTACTTTTTCTTATAATCATTAAGCTTTAAAAGTTATAAAGTAAACTTTTATTTTTAAAATAATTATAAAATGCAAAAGATGTAATGATTACATGAAAACGTAAACATTTCAACCAATAACAATTAAATGTTACATTTTTTATATACTATATTTTGTGAGAAATTTATCATAAAATATAGTGTATGAGAAATTTAGCTAAATAAATAGTATCAACTTATCTTATTGAAGAGTATTTTTTACGCTTAAATGTTAAATTTATAATTAACACATATAATGCACTGTGTATTGCAGATGCTCTAATCTGATCAAAAGATGACTAATGAAACAGGATGGACGACTTATCATGATTTTATTGGAAGAGTGTGTATGACCTTCTTTTGGGTCTTTAAATATTGGTTGGGCCCATTGGTTTGGAGATATCTTATTAACAGCATATCATGGTGGTATAATTGTTTTCATCTTCTAATGTTAGATATAGATCTTCAAAATGATGATTTTAATCTCGAAATGATAAGAAAAGTTAAAAGTAATGTGTGCCGGCCATCAATTTTGAGTTATAGAGCTAAAGATTCTTCCAGAATTTTTTTTGACTATGATGTGGAATCTGATAGATACAGAACTGGTTGTCACGGTCAGTCCACTGTCTGAGTCTTCGGCGTTGCCTTTTCTATTTTGGACGAGAATCTCTCCACCCCTTTTCTGTTCTTCTCTGTCTTCTTTAAATTGTTTGTATTTTATTGATGCTCCTTCTTGCATTGGCTTAACTCTTCAGTAGGCTTAAGTCATTTTCTAGTATAATTTTCACAGCACGAGCCTGGAATTGATTTTTCCAATTTTTTATTCTTTTGCTTCCGTGGAAGCATGTAATTTGAAGGTAAAACTAACCTTAAAAAAAAAAAGAGAGAGAGATTCCTGGCCTCTTAGCGTGGTCGTAAGTGTGAAAGATTGTTGATAAGATTGGGACGCTTGTGGAAGTTGACCAGTCGTAAACCATATTTTTCTTTGGCATGAGTTATTCGCAAATGATGTTTGTAAGCATAGGTAAAGAAAATTTGTTCTTTGGTTGAACTGAATTCTCTCATCTTTTTATCTTTTTGTCTTGTTGGCTTTCAAAACAAATGTAAATACCACATCCCAAACATTTGACAGTTTATTCAGGGGGGGGAAAAAAACAGAAAACAATTAGACAGTTTTTTTGGGACTAATAGCTAACGTTAGACTTAGTTTGGCAAACTATTCTTTTATTTTTTGCTTGACTTAGTCCGGAGATTCTAGGACTGTGTTTTTCGCTTCCTGAACTAGCTAGAGTTTTGTCTGCTTGAAAGAGCAACAGGTCCTTTCGTCAGTTACTGAAAGAGTACTTGTGTTTTTATTTTGAGTTAATTAATAGCTTTGCTTTGTTAGTCTCTGAACTTTAAAGGAAGTGACATTTTAGTTTTTGAATTTTTAATATAAGTATATTTAGTTTCTGAACTTTTCTTTTCAATACTTTTAATTCTTGACTGTAAAATTCACTATGAAATTTAACCTAAATAATTTACATTCATTATCGCATAATAACAGAAAATTTTGTGTAAGTTATTACAATATATGCAAAAAATTATAGTTTTTAATAGGTTTTAATTGTACCAAAAGAAATTTTTTTACATATAACGTAACTATTTCTGTAAAATCTTAAATTATTACGCGATAGATACATATTTATCTTTATTAAATTTCAAATATCATTCGTTAATTTTATTGTCAGAGACTAAAATTATTAAAAAATAAAAATTCATAAACTAAATATGCTTAAATTAAAAATTTAAGGACCAAATTTAAAATTTAGAGAATAACAGACCTATTCACCCTTTTATTTTTATTTTGAGTGTATTTGTTTGACAATAACATTAAAAACAAAGGCAGACATACAAGTCAAATGCGTCTCCTGCTATTCCGAAAAACAACACTTTAATGTACGGGGCAACAGAAAGAACCACCTTCCTTTAATACGGTTATGATATTTCATTCAACAGGCTTTATAATCTAAACTTCATGTTTGCTAAAGCTTGAACTCTTGTTATGGTAGATAATATATGTCGATTTCTTGTTTGGCAAGGTACTTTCCACTGGGCGAACTGGGTAATTCTCTTCTCTTCTGTTTGCGTTTTACTTTGGAGTCTACCTTGTTTTGATTACAGCTGTGGAACTTAATTCCACAGGGATGGACTTAGTTGAATTTTGCTGTAGTATATAAAGAGTATTGTCCAAAGTGGTCTTCTTTTGGTGTTATATTTTGTAAATAATATATGGAGTTTAGAGTGCTTGCTTGTGTGTTTCTGATTATTATGGAGTTAGAGTACTTCCTTTGACGTGTATAATATGAGCTACTTTAGTTGCTTCATTTTTCCAAGTTATTTTTGGTTTTATTTGGCTAAGTTAACGTCCTCCATCTATGAGTTAGGAAACTAAATTCTATTTTTCGGTCAATTAAACAAATTGAAAACACACACACACACACAAAAAAAGAAAAAAAAAAAAGATATGGTGTTGGAAATATATTAAGAAAGATCAAATGGATTTTAGTCGCAGTTAATCTGGACAGTAGATATGGAATAATCCAGGCTTTATTTTCATTTCCAGTTGCTCTCCACTCATAACTTCAAATTGTCTCCCAACGTTCCAACTAGAAGATACAGTCCACATCTTATCTGGATATTCACGACGATGCAGTTTTGTGATTCTTGTCTCTATTCGTGTTTTAAATTGTGGGTGAAGACTTGCTAATACAAGTTCAATCTTTGTATCAAATTGCTTATGAAACTCTGCAGATTGAAGTTAAATTGCATGAAATGGATAACGAAGGTGCATGTGTTCTGGAATTTCCATATTATTGCAGCGTTAAGGTAAAGATAATTATTGCATCCTTCGCTACTAACTCGGTAATAATTGCTGCACTTTCTTATAAATGCTCTGTCATTATGCTGCAAGTCTTTTCGTCATTGCTAAGTCAATGACATAGAAAATAACTTCAATGCTGCCGGTAATTATGGTTTGGATATCACCAGAAGAGAGATGGAATTGGAAATGGAAGATCAGGTTATTAGAATGTTCTTCATGTTTCCTTTTCAGCCCCTTGCATTAAGGAGGTCGCTTAATCTTAAGTGCAATTGAACGGGTGAAATTTCAATTGCAGAAACACTGTTGGCAACAATTCTTCGTATGCCCAATTTGTAGGTCACCGAGCAGAGAGATTATTAGAATTTTTATGGATCGAAATTTGATTTATACAACTCACCGTAACACAAGGCTCGTTGGCTTGATCATTACTTACTATGTAGGTCTATGTATACTGATCTTTTGCTTGTTTTAATACTGCTAAAATCACACGCTCAATTTTGCAGGTGCATGTTTTGATATGCCAAGAGCTCATTAAGTTCCTTAAGAGACTAGCACCAATATTTTCAGCCATCGAGTCTGCTCGACCGCGATGTACGTCTGGAATACCAGCATTGTGCTCATTGCAAGATTGGATGGATAAAGCAAAGTCAATTATTCAGCACTGCTCTGAGTCTAGCAAACTTTATTTGGTACCAATTTCTCTCGCTGAAAAGAATTGCTTGTAGTGAACTTTATATATTTACAAAATTATGGAGATGCATAAAACAGTTGTCCTTTTGTAGGAACTCTTAGGTCTGTTCTTGCTAGAAAGCTTTGTAGTATAACAAATTTTATCAATTTGTCTTATGGTTTGGGGAAAAGGAGAGAGAGAGAAACAGGGAGATCATGGAAACGTTCTCAACATCTGCACTAGCACTTTCTTGATAAACTTCAAACTTTTTCCCTAC